TCCTGTTTCATGTTTTGTTTAATTATGTTTTGTCTTGTCTCCCACTTCCTGTCTTATTTTGTTACTCACCTTTTGTGTTTCCTTCCAGGTCCCTTCACTCACTATCCTCGGGTGTTTCTCAATGTCGAGTACGCTTGCTTGGTAGCACATGTCTTCCGAGCGTCTTGCTTCAGAAGCGAGAAGAGTGGAACAGGCGAGCAGGTGTGCAGGTGTGCGTCATATGAGAGGCCCCGCCTTACATTTTCCGCGACAGATTTGGGGAAATTGGTCCGTGTGCAAAGCATTGTGGGAATTTTAAGACCGCGGAGTCTACACATGTGCAGCCTCGAAATTTCTCCAAACGAAGTACGCCGGGCTCGGTAGAATTCCAAGTATGCTGGACATTGGAACAGTCCTTCGGCGGCACTCGATGACGTAGCATGCTTGAAATAGTGGCTCTGGAGCAGCTTTACTCGACATTGAGAAACACCCCCTGTGTCTCCCGCTCTCATCAGCGTCAGCCCCGCCCCTGAGTGTTTCCACCTGTTTCCATTACCTTTTGTCTAAATTCCCCAGCCTTCCTTTGTCTCGTGTCCGTTCGTCTTGTCCTGTCTCCGTGCCAGTAGTCTGCTTACCAGCGATTACATTTCTTGTCTCAAGTCTGATTTACTTTGTACGTTTTGTTCCTCACTTAGTGAGCGATTTTCTTTCGTGCCTTTTTGAGCCTTTTTTCACCCCGTTTCAGAGTGTTGATCTTGTTTTGTTCTCCTATGTTTGAAAATGAAGTATTTACTCACCTCTGTCTCCCGGGTGGTGCATTGGAGTCCTTTACCTTGTGTATCCAAGTTGGTGACACATGCATCTTTCACCTTTCATTACAAAGGGAAACTGTATTTGATGGATGCAGGATTTATGAAGGTCAGAGAGCACTGGAGTCTTCTTTTGGTGCGTGGGGTCTTGTCTTTTCTGTGAGTTTCAGTAGTTTTCCACAAAGAGCTGTTGAATCAGGAAGAAGAGGAGGAAGAAGAGTGGGAGGATGGTTTCTCACAGCGGTTGCAGCAGGACAGATGATGGGATATTTTGAGGAAAATGAAGCGATGGTATGTGAAGTGAAGTCGATGCCAGGGGTTTAAAGCCGCTGTTGTTCGAGTGGCAACTGTTCTGAGACCCTCGGTGACATCAGGGTGGTCGAAAGATTTAGCCTCAAACTCTGGCAGACATGATATCCTCTGCTGCTGTTCGTCAAGCAGTGACATCATCTCAGGAAAGCTCTTAAACCAAAGACATGCCCACACACACGCAGAAACACAGGCATCCAGCGTCCCTACAGGAATATCATCTTTACATGCATGTCGATGGTATGTGAGTTCTCCGGTGTCACAGGGCTTCTTCTTCGATGACGTAAAGTGAGACGGAAATAAATGATTGACTTGCTTTGCAGGAACAACCTCATAAAGAGGGATTTAGGGGGTATTAACGTCGCAAAGACAACCGGATCTCTGTATATCTTTCATGAAACTGTAGCGATAGCAGCCTGGCTAACAGTTACTGTACACAAAGCAAAAGGATTCATCATTAGGATCCCAAATTAAAATACAACCCAAATCTCTGTGCTTTTATGAAGGCAGAGCAAAAATAAATTTGTTTGCTGTGTTTTCCCCAAAGCCCCATGTAGTCCAAAACATTTCCCATTGGAACAAAAGCATGTTAGCCCAAAAAACTGTCTATTGCACCAGAAAATACACACTTTTTGCATCGAACAGAAGCATATCTACTAAATATTATGCAGATTTGGATTCATAGGCCATTAAAAATAATAGCATGGCCTTCAAAGTAAGGATGTTTTGATACTGGTCATGTTTTGCCTCTATTGTTAACGGGCCTCTTAAACCGTTCAGAGTTTCCACAGATAATGTTATTTTCCAGTTGTTCTGCTAACTTGGATTATTGTAGGATAGTTTCCTCTTAGTGAAATGCTTTCTAGTAAGCAGTGATGCATCCCAGGGCTTTTATTGTGAAAGGTAATGTGCATTTGTGGACATTGTGGGAACAATAAAGAGTTCAATTAGTCTAGGAAGCAACAGTGTTAATTATTTATAACCTTCAGAAGTATGGGCACAGCTCAAAAGCTATCCTCTTCCTTTGTGTGTCTCAAGCCCCCGTTATCGTGGATTAAATTGCATTTCAAGTGATAATGTAAAGGAACAAGTCATCTATTGTGTAAACTGTGTGTTCAGAAAGTAATCTGACTGAGTGAACGAGAGCTTTCTGTCCTCTTACGAGCATTTTCAATCCACCATTAGTTCTGAAGAGCATTTCAGATGCGCTTTTCAAAGTAAGAGCGGCACGCTGGGAGGGCTTTTCACTGGACTTAATGAAAAAGAATCAATATTTGGCATTGATTGGGGATTTTCTGAGCGCACGGTGTGCCTCGACGGGCCGTTCTCGTTGCATACATTTTGTATTTTAAGTTGAGTGCGAGGCTGAGCAGTGAGTGGGATCAACACGGGAAATAAAAGGCTGCTAATGCTCATCGTTAGTATAGCTGCTAATGGGCCGGTTGCTAAGAGCTGCTTTTACTGCAGCTTTCTCTCACACACACACACACACACACACACACACACACACACACACACACACTCACCGCTCATACCGTATATTCAACTCTTCCTCACCTTTCTTTATTGTGCAATGAAGTCACATTTAAAGAGATCCAAATATCCTGCAACGATATTACGTCGACTTAATTTTTTGCGTTGCTATTCCTCATAATAAAGTGTGAATGTATTCAACCTTGTTAGCCGGGGGGCAGAGGTGTGCACCCCTTATATTCTACATTATTCACTCTGTGTGTGTGTGTGTGTGTGTGTGTGTGTGTGTGTGTGTGTGTGTGTGTGTGTGTGTGTGTGTGTGTGTGTGTGTGTGTGTGTCCAAAGCCTATGGTAATTAGGCAGAGCCCATGGCACTGCCAGCTACAATGGCAGACCAGTGAAATGTCGAGAGATAAGCTTAACATACCAGCACATACACAAAAGGATTATTGTAATGATTTCACACACAGCAGACAGGCAAACATACATGCACCCGACACAGGAACATGCTAATGTAGGAGGGTGAAATACGCAAATGCATTATATTTTTGGTACTTTCGTTAAGCGCATTGGACTTCTTATATTTTAGTTATTATTTCCTCTCCTGCAGTTGTGTAAAAGCTCTTCCTGTCAATTCCTTTCTCCCACTTTTCTTGATTTGTTCCTTACTTCTAGGTCATTTATTCAGAGAAAGTTTGTTGTATTTTGCATATTATGTAGTTCCCTCATAACAACTTTGGAGAGTAATAACTTTTCCATTTGTTAAGGTAAGATGGTTTGTCGGTGTCTGCATTATATTGAGCTGCTCAACAGATGGCCAATAAATATAAAGGAAAGCCATGAGACTAAATTACTCCTACTCACAAACACAGAGTAACCCACATCTGCACACACACAGAATTACACCTACACACAGAACTATACAAGTTGGCAAGGCCGACACACACAGAGAAAATGATAACAACCTACTACAAAATGAGAATCAACAGACACAATCACACATTGAGAATACACCTACACACACATACAGAATACACACACACAATCATGTTTCCTCGTATAATTAAAGCCAAAACCGTTTTCAGCAGGGGCGTAAATGTATTGGCCCCATACTCACACATTATATCAAGTATTGTGTGTGTGTGTGTGTGTGTGTGTGTGTGTGTGTGTGTGTGTGTNTACAATGGTGCCGACAATATTATCGTTTATCGCAATAATTTCCAGGAACATTTATCATCCAACAAAATTATTTATCGTGACAGGCCTAGCGTCGGCGACTTCTCAGGTGACTGGCCGGTGTATCTGGGCCTTAAGGTCTACCATGCAGGGCCTCTTATGACCACTCCAGTGTTGACGTCCATGTATTTATCTTCAAAGGTTCGGGTTACTTGTTTCTTTCCTCAACTTAAAGTTAACCCAAGCTGCTTCAACACACCGTGCTCATATGAAATGATGTTTCATTCGTCTAGGTTACATGCACCTTTTTTTATAGAATCCTAAAATAACCGTTCAGCTTCTCCTAAAGTTGTGTTATTATAAATCAGAGACTATTTAGTGGAAGAAACATGCAACATTTGTTCTGATTGGCGAAATCTGGTAGGGAGACAACCTATTGACAACACCTGATTTTATTTTGAATTCAGATATTTTCATTTGCAAAGAGTACATATACACGTCAGTTGCGGGCACATATTTGACTCTACTGCTATGGGACTTGAAAACAGAAGTCCTATCTTTTAACCTGCACTAAAATAAAGATACAATTTAGGTGTTATTACTTCACACTTTGAATACCCAAATCATTCTGCTTATACACTGAATTAACCTAGCCTCAGCTATTTAAAAAGGTGCTGCTTTTGATGCTATATGCTTGAAATTCACTCTACCTTTATTTTTATTACAGGCGTTTCTTGAATGGCACATGTAGATTTGGTTCCAGGTGTATATATCGACATGACTGTATGCCGCCAGTTCAAATATGTAGGTACTTTCAGAAAGGTATATGCTGGTATGGTGAACGCTGTAGGTAAGCTTTCATAATTTTTCCCCAACTCTATTTTATGGAACTAAATGAAAAGGAGGATGTCATGCACCCGGATTACTGCAGCTCATCCAATATTTTCCATCGCTAGGTACGTCCATGTCCTTCACCCCGAAGTTGATGCAGCTGTTGCACCTAGAAGAGGATCCATGCCTACCGTTTCCTCCTCCAGTGGGTCTTACGCTCCACCTGACAGAAGAGGGTCAGAGCCAGCTCTTTTGCAGGCTGCGGTGACGTCCAGTAGCCGATCACAGTTGCTGGTTCATAGGTCATATCCTCAACAGAACAACGAGCGTGTGGCTGCAGATATTGCCGAGGAACAATCACAAGGTAATGGCTGTTTTCATGGGTGACTGACTTGGTCAGCGTTTCTCCATACTTTTATTTTTTTATTTGTTTTTACAGATGCTCGCACTCCTCTCTCTGCATCTTGGGAATCGGTCCAGAGTTCAGAAGATGCTCAAGCATGTGCATGTAACGAGAGAAATGAGCAGGTTTGCTTAACTTGAGTATGATCTTTCCAAGGTGCATCCTGGCGACCGAAGAAGTTAAACCCAGAAGGCTTGAACTTGCTATTCTTTTTGCATTCAGGAGATTTCTTCTAATGAAGCAGCAGTCAATGGTGCAGCTGCTGCAGCAGCCTCTAATTCCCTGAAGATTATTGAGGCAATAGAAGCCTCCCTCCAGAGCAAAAGCGTGACCTGTGGCATCTGCATGGACAAGGTGTATGAAAAGCCAGATCCAAGAACCCATGTTTTTGGAATCTTGCCAAACTGTGATCACCCCTTCTGTTTACAATGCATTATGACCTGGAGGAAAACAAAAGACCTCGGCCCAGATGTGGTTAAGTAGGTGTTGGTAATATTTGGAATAGTTTATTGCATCTCATTACACGTGAAGGATTTCACTTGACAACTGTGTTTAATGATTATTCCCCAGGAGCTGCCCACAGTGCCGAGTGAGGTCTGCCTTCTATGTGCCTCACAGACACTGGGTTGAAGGACGAGCAAAGGAAGGTGTCATTGCTGCCTTCAAAGAGAAATTCAGGTATGCAATGAGATTGTTTTAACACCCCTATCAAGTGCTTACTAACTAGAAGTGACTTTCAAATGTCCCAACTAATACATAATTGGGACCACTATCCATAATGGTAATGACGAAGATCATCCTTGAAGTGTAAAGCAATTTGATTAATCCCAACATGTTTTATTGCTGGGATTTTGTATCTATTGTTAAGCCAGAACTCTGACCATTATGAACTCTGAACGTTCACATATTTTATACAAAATAGGAATGCAATTCTTTAACTTCTAAACTTGTTATATTTCATATTTGCATTTTTCATGCAGGCTACTATTGAAAGTTTATTGCAAAATTGCTTGAAATGTTGCCCCCCCTCCCATATGTATTGTCCTATAATTGTAGTAAAAAAAGATGCAGTTACTACTCCCGATATGGATGCTGCCCCTTCAAAACGGAGTGCCTTTATCGGCACGACAAACATGCCCTTCACGGATCGTTTCCGGTAAATATATTCAGTTTTATGCTCTCAAATTGTAAGCACCATATGTCTATTTTCCCCTTAATATTTCCCCTCTTGCTCAACAGTATTATGCGGAAGAAGAAGACGACTACGACAGCGTAGATCTGCTTAACCTTTTCATAGCCATGACTCTTCTCGGTGATGATGAGGACGACGATGAGGACGACGTTGGCATTCCTTTCTACCTATCTGAGGAGTATAGTTTCTGAGCTGTTTCTCATTTTTGTCAGTGCCTGAAACCACTGACTGGGTCATAATTCAAAAACTGTCCCAAGAAGAACCCAGGGCTGTGTTTTGACTGTTCTGTTCGTATGGAAACCCCCTCTTGATTAGCTCTGAACAAGATCTGTGATGTCAACCATGCTCCATGGATGGCCCAGTTTGTTGGGGGTCACGCTACAGCAAGGAATTTGACTGACTAGCACTCCTTCAACCAGAGAGGAACTTGTCTTTAAAATCACCTGCTGAAGTCCCTGTTTGCAAATGAGGACATGTACACTTGTCTCTCTACGCCACATGGTTGTTGCCACTGCTCTAGATGTAATCATCCCTTATCAGACTCATCTTTAATCTGTCTAATTACCCTGTGGTTAATCTGTGGCATTCTAGTTTGGATTTATTTCACACCTGTGGCCAAGTGCTTAAAACATGTAGCATAATTGTTTAACTTACCCTTAACCTCTGAACATTGGGAGTATTCAATCCTGACTTCTCTTCTAGAATTGTGCATTTTTTTGGTATTTTAAAGTGTTGTGTGGATTGTTTTAATTCTCTATAGATAAAAGTGTTCTACCCCTTCTTGCTAATGTCCACTGCTGATGCCTGAAGAGATTTTCATAAGAACCCTTTTCCTAGTTTTGGAAAGAATATAAAGATGTTAAGATTTTATTACTTTTTTTAACAAGTTGTACTTGTACACAAAAAAATAAACATTGCTTCACACTTTGTCTCAATAAAAATGGTGTTGTGCTCTTTCATTTACATTCTCGCAGTTATAAATTTGTCTAATCAAACCATTTGTGCTAGCAATTGAACGTTTAAGTTTCAAAATGTTTTCTGGCTTTGACCAAGCACAAATTTGAAGAAATTTTCAAACTCTGATAAGTGAGGTATTCTTAGTTCTAATATTTACTCATGGAGTCCATTTGACAACTGTTAAAGCAAAATTGTATAATATAACAACGTAACTGTAGGCTCTCAGAAACCTCAATGATCAAAACCAAATATTGGGTATCAATAAACACCATAACAAGATATGTGAATTTTCTCTAATGGCTAGACTCCAGTTTTACGGTTATGGCTAGAAAGGATCAGTCTAGTGTAAATATGACGTCTCGTTGTAACTCGTTGTAATCGGAGCGGCTCGGAAACACATCTACAGCAGTAACATGATGCAACATGAACATACACATTAATGCAGCAGCAATATTAATAGAGAAACATCAGACATAATAGTTAGACCCTCCAGAAAAACGCGGGCAAAAATCCTTGATTATGCGGGCTAAATTCCTTGATTATGCGGGCTAAAATCCTTGATTATGCGATTAAACATGCGGGGTTTTATGTGATTTTATGCGGTGAAACTGCGGGAAGTTGCGAAATATGCGGGAAAAAATTATCGATTTTTTTTTAAAATATTGGGCTGTCTTATTTATTCTCTCTCACACAACCTGCCACTAACGTTAAACCCCTTTACTATTCAGTTAAACACATTCAATGTTTATTTATTGTAAAAGCAATTGGGCTATTTTAATCTCACGCACACACACACACACACACACACAC